CAAAACTTATTTCTTTTTTACCCTTAGACTTACAGAACATCTTCCAGGATCTCGAAATAAGACGAGCCCCCCAAATTTTTTTAATTCCTTCTTTAATATTTGTCAAAACTCCGCCCATAGCTTGTAGTCCCTGTTGAACACATAAATTTAAAACATGACAGGCACACCGTTGATGCAGAAATCTACCCATAGTCGTAGACGGTGGGCAAATTTCTCTAAGTCTAGGAATAGCAGCAGTATTGTTAGTAGCATTATCAAAACCAAATGAAAAAACTTTTTCAGATAAGTTATATTCCCGCAGAATACTCTGAAGCAATAGGAAAATATTTTCAGCAGTATGCTGATCATTGAAATCATGAAATGCAAGAACACGTTTATGCATAATCCAATCACTATCTATCCAATGGCAAGTAACACCCATATAAGACAAATTATGATAAGTTTCACCCCAAATATCAGAACAAATAGCAACACGAGAATTAAAATTGAGAAAAAAATTTGCCAAATTAATTTTTTCCATTTTATACTGGCGAATAATTTCTCGTTTAATTGTTTTTCTTGAAAACCTCGTGCTTGAGGGTTTAATGCATGTTGACAATAATCAATAAAACCAAGTTTTTCAGAAAACATGTATGGCAAATTTTCTTCACAAATCATTTCGGCCATTTTTTGCCTATTTTGCTCGTCGCTATAAGCAAAAAGGCCGCCCTTACCTCTGTTAGCAAACCGAGAAATTTGGGTTTGCACTTCTTGTCGTCCCTTTTTTTGGCCCCGTATTTGGCGTACTCCACGGGATGCCTCGACCTTAGGTGTTTTTCCGGACCGCCATAACCGCCGGAAACTCCCATTTTTATGACGGTCCCGCAATGTTTACAAGTTCCATAAACTATGCCATCTTTTGTGTCTTTGTCAAAATGATAAACAAATAATTCTGATTTATATTTTTTCTTACCTTTGTCCGGACCTCGAGAGGTCTCGGGCTCACCTGCCTCCACGTCGACGTCGTTGCTTTGCGGTGTAGGCTCATCGTCCCCGTCAAGATTATCCAGTCCTGCTTCATCAACATCCTCGAATAGACTATCAAGAGTGGGGAGATTCGCGTCTCCTCTACCAGAATAAATCTGGTTGAATTCTTCATCCGTCATAGCGTCCCCGATTAAATGATCTGGGACAGTAGGAAACGAAGAGACGGAGTGTCTTCCTCGAGAACCGTGTCCGCGTGAGGTCGAACCGTCGGAGGTGGCTTTAGCTTTGCCTTTACTCAATCTTCGGTTGACGTCGCCCATATCCACGGACC